AGCATTTCGTTGCTCTTTCACTTGAATTGGCATTCTTTGTTTCAGGTTCAAATTCACGGCATGGGTACCGCACTGAAAATCCTTTTCTCAGATCTACCACATTCTCACTACATGGTTAATTCTAAAGGATCCATAGTAAATGCTCCGTTCCAGTTGACTCGGTAAGTTTTTTGAGTTACTAAACACTGGATGTAAATGAAAGGCACGTTCACATGATGTTCAAGGCACTGAAGACATACTTTGCGTGGGAGTGGGATTAAATTCTGATGGGAAGATATTAAGTGACCCGCAAGAGAATGAAAATGCAAACGGAACCGTCGAAAACGCCCTAGATAAGAGCTTCGTAATTTCTTTCAGTGAGTGAGCGTATGGCCAAAAGAGTGCGTTTCAGAGTGAGATCTCGATTGTTGATGTCACAACGGTACCAGTGAGCCCTTGGAGGCACCCCCGCATTCATTTAATATTCATGCGCCTTTTTTGAAGATGTCATTCGCGGCTGCGAACGTGGAGAATGTACCACTTTCGCAGCTCCAAAATACGTGAAGAAAGCGCCCGCTCGCGGAGAGGCCGCCGCCCCGCCCCATGTCCACCGCAACTCCCAACTTTCACTCCTAGAGCCTTCTAGTGGAGCGGTTGCTCCTCTGCTAGCTCTGTTTCGAATGGTCAAAATGGGTGATAAAAGGGAGCTGGTACCATTGAGTGAGAACTCGTCCGACCACACCTTTTTTCCGCCTTGTGCATGTGCAAACGCGGTTCGCGATGGGGTTCTATGATCTTGTTACTAGTATTGAGCTACACAAATTACCAAATTACCATTTTTGAACTCGGTTCGTGCCTTTAAGCCGAGCTCTTCGGTAGCTTCTGTAATACGAAAGTTAGCGTAGAATGTGCTTTTATAATGCGCCTTTATATCACAGAACTGAGCACTTCAGTCCAGCTGTCAGGGATAGACAGTTTTGGAGAGCTGCCGGCTCCTTGTATAATATTTATTTTGCACTCTTTTAAGGAATGAAGTGGTTTCGTTGTTCCAAAGTCTTGGAAGGTACTCGTCCAGCATCAAGGAGATCGACGAATTCCGAAAAGAAATGCTAGTTGGTTACCGTGGTATAGATGAGTTATGAGCTTCGCGATCATTCCTTTGTAGATTTGTTCCATGCTTGTAACAATCTTTTGCTAGCCTAATAGTTGTTCACTTGTCATTGCCTTTTCTCGTAAGGCAATCTTGCGATTTATATAGAATCTAGGATAGAGTTTCGGATAATTTTGCCTCAATGAATCAGGTTACGGCTTGCACTTTGGGTATCAGTTTCTGAAAAGACGATTCTTTTTCCTTGGAGCATTAATATTATATTCATCCGTGTGTACATGTTGTTTGTGCAGAGTATATGGGTTACTCTTAATCACTAAATTCTTTCTTCTCATTACTTTCTTCCAAATGCGTTAATCAATTAAATTAAATTTATTAATGTCGCTGTGATATTTTTTCATCTATTCATTTTAAGCGAATGATTTGTTGTTAAATGTTCAATTGTGTGCAATGGATTGGTGCGTTTGTACATAATGGATAAATTGTTTTACACATGTTCCTTTCACGTGAATTGAGCCAGGGTACCATACATACCATACAGACGGTTCATAGGTGCAGGGTGTCAGATGTCACTTAAACGTTGCGCACCCTTAACAAAACCCCTCCCTGACTGTTGCGCAGCCTGTACAAGTTCTTCGGACTTGCTGGCCACATGACACCCTGTGGAACCCCTTGCTCACAAATCGTTTCTTTGCATCTTCCAGCACTAAATGCCAATTACAACAATCGAGAGCGAAAACATTGGAATAGAAAATAGCTTTCGAAAATCCTAAGCATGAAATCAGAGTTACAGTAAGCTTGCACGACGGGCTTTTGCACCAGCACAAGTGTATCGCTGAAACTAGGCAGCTCCCAAACGCATCTTTCCTCAGGAATTAGGCTGCTTCTGACTTGTTTGTGGAAATAATCCAAGGGAAACAACTAATGAGCTCGCAAAAGATTCGACAAGCCAAGGCAACTCCGACAAGCATATGCAATCGTCCTACGACGCTGCAGACAAATGCGTGCACGTAACTCACCGTGTAAGTCATTGTCTTGCAGAGCCTAAAGATCAAAGTGGTTGGGAGTCACGCCTCCGTGGGTCGCTTATCTCGCCCTTTTCAGTGAGGAGGGTGTACACTATGCGGGTGCAGACCTTGATGCTAACTAGGGAAGTCCGCTAAATTACCATGAAATTTCGAATGGAAACCTAGGTATATCGATAGATTATTTACAAATATTGATAGCAGAACTGCAACCGGCATCTCACAAGCAACTTATGAGCAGGTAAAGTTTGTAATGGTGTGCAATAGCGTGCAGGCTTTTCAATGGGAGCTGTGAAACATAAGTCGAGGAAGTGCTATACGTGAAGACCCTGTACCAGTGGACACCTACCATTGAACCACCCAGAGACTTCGCGTTCGACGTATGCGATTCCTCGCTTGTGCTTCACAGCTCACCACCGAGCCTCCACCCTACTGCACCATTACAAAATTTAACTGATCATAAGTTGCTTGTGAAGTGCAGGTTGCAGTTTTGCTACCTATATTTTGTAAATAACCCTATAGACTCAATCTTTTGCCGTCTCGCCATCACGTGGTTACAGTCTTGTTCACTGTGGACGGGGGACGTGCCAGAGGAGTGGGCAGGTTTGGCGGCCACGCCGTCTACAGAACACTGTGTCACCGCGATAGGCTTTCTTCCTCTTTCCTTTTTCCTTCCTTCTTCCTCTTTTCCTCCCTTCCTTCTCTCTTCCCTTTTCCCTTTCCTTCTACCTTCCACTGCTGGCCAGTGGACGCGATGAGAAAATATCTCTGGACCCTCACAGCGAGAATCGAGGAAGAGAGGAGGAGGAAGCACCCGACCAAGTCGCCGGCGATCGCCGATCCTCCCAATCAATGAGTATCGAAGTCTTTTCGTAGATGCTGTTTCTTTGTCAGGGTCGCAGGTTGTGAACAACGCCCTACGTCAAAACCTTGGGCGCCGGTTCTGCTTGAGTGTTCACTCATTTATTGTGGCTATCCTATAGGTGACAGAGGCGGAGGTGGTGTAGTGACAAGTGGCGCGTTGCACTCGCCACGGTCCCTGCGACGTTCGAATCACGGGTCGACACCCGCCCAGGCCAACCAAGCCTTCTACCCTCCGGGGACGGTAAATTGGTACCAGATTCGTCTGGGAGGATAAAACACTGACTTGTACATCGGCTGGCCCAGGCAAGCCGATTTTTATTAGGCACATCGATTCAGAAGCCACACGATCTGATGGAATGGTAAATGCGTGACCGCTATCCCACAAGCGGATTGATCAACTGCGAAACTTTTATCCTTTGTATGCCTTTGTTATCCTATAGGTGGTAAGTCGGATATCACAAAGAATCCATTCTGCCGGACCTTACTAAAAGTTCGTTGTCTGTCACGTGCGACTACTTTTTGGTGCGACTTCATTGCAAGGCTCCTCTCCCCTTCCCCCTTTGCCCCCACAAAAGAGGCACCTATTCCTCCTTTTTTATCACCTCAAGGTAAAATCCACAACCCTGAGACGCGGTGGGCGTGGCTGCGTCCTTCATCTGAACATGACATAGGATGGATTTTGTTGGGATATCACGATTTTAGACACATTCACCTTGTCTTGTGCTGGACAATTGTTCCGAAATGAAAATATCTTGCCGGAATCGCAGCCGCCGGGACTTCTGAATTGAACTGCGCAGCCACGCCCACCGCATCTCAGAGATTTGCAGTATACAGACAAACGTGAGCGTGCTCACAAATTCTTCAACTTAGGCTCCTAAATCCATTGCAGCATAAAACACAAACGCGTCATTTCAAAGGGGGAATTTCCTACGACTGTTTAGCGCAATATTTCAAGCACATTCATGAGTATTCATGAACATTTGCTATTACGATCTGGGCTTTGCGCTTCACGTCTAGCGAGAATAGGAAACGTTTCTTTCAACGCCGATCGCTCTCTTCTCCACGTGCGCACTGCACTGTGCACCCATGCAGAGGAGGTGGTGAGAAGGCATAACCTATACGTAAAAACGTATACATATACGTTGAAAAATATCATATTCGTGATCAGGGCATCAAAAAACCCCATAAAAACCCCATTTTTATCGATTTGATAAAAAAGGGTGTGGCGCCAAATCAGCGCCTAATGGCGCCAAATGGCGTCAGGGCTGAAAACTAATTCGGTATTCGTGATCAGGACATCAAATAACCCTACTATGCAAATTTACACCGAATTTGGTGAGAAAGGTGGCGGCGCCAAACTGGCGCCATTGGCGCCAGCGCCGAAAACGAGTGCTATATTCGTGATCAGGACACCGAATTACCTCTGTGGGCAAAGTTTCAGCAAAAATTTTTTTGACTTTTTGGGGTAGTAATAGTTGAATAGTGCCGAACTTTTTGCAAAATACGACCTCAAATTCAAGAATCTCTATATTGGACCCCTC